CATCTCGGCTATCGCCCGGGGCAAGGAGCTGCGGCTGACGCTGAGCGCGCTGGAGCCCGCCGCCGGGCCCCCAGCGCAGGACCTGGTGTTCCGCTTCGGCATGTCGGGGTCGTTCCGGCTGTGCCCCGCCGCCGAGCTGCCGCGCCATGCCCACCTGCGCTTCCTCACCCGGGAGAGCCCCCCCCGCGCCCTCTGCTTCGTCGACCCCCGGCGCTTCGGGTCGTGGCGCCTGGGGGACGCCTGGCAGCCGGAACGCGGGCCCTGCGTGGTCTCCGAGTACCAGGCTTTCAGGTGAGCCCTCTGCTTGGCTTTGGCTGCTTTTCCTGCACAGACATGTCCGGGTGACTCTTCTCGATGGCCTCTCTTGCAGGGAGAACGTGCTGAAGAACCTGGATGATAGGGCTTTTGACAAGCCCATCTGTGAGGTCCTCTTGAATCAGAAGTATTTCAATGGAATTGGGAATTACCTTCGAGCCGAGATCCTGTACAGGTAAATTGTGCAGAGCCTCCGCTGACCTGCCACAGAGGTTTAATTTCTAAGAGTTTGCTGGAGCTTGGCAGCTCCTTGGCTAAGCCGGCTGTGCCTCCTCACTTGGAACTGGAAGTGCCAGAAGCGAGGCCTCAAGCTTGTGTGTAACTCTCTCAGGTTGAAGATCCCTCCCTTTGAAAAAGCTCGGACTGTGCTGGAGGCCTTGAAGGAGCAGAAGCAGGAGAGGAGGAAGAAGGTGGGGAAGGAATACCAGGTGCTTTCACAAGCTCAGGAAGCAGCAGGTTTCCATGCTGGAGGCAGGGGTCTGGTTGCCTGTGGCCCTTCAGAATGAGCTCTGCCAGTCTTGAGGAGGAAGAGGTGATGGAAACACCTCACAAGCTTAAAGTCTCCAAGGGGAAGGCTGCAGTAAAGCCCAAGGATGATCTCGTGGCCTCAGGGGAGGAGGAAATAGCTATTTTAAGCCTGAAGACAAACTACACGACCTGCTGCTGGTGTTTTTGTGTGTTAGCCCTCTTTCATGTCTCTGTAGCTAAGTTGGAAGCCAAGTGTGTGGTGAGCTCTGGGCTATCGTGTGTGGCAGTTCATCCTCTGGAGGGCAAGAGATGGGGAAGAAGATGGGAGGAGAGAAGCTGAGGAAGCAGAGGCAGGTGACTTCTCTGTCCTTCTCCATGCCTGCAGGATCCTTCCCTGACACTGAGCAAGAAGGTGAAGCTGAGGCAAGAGAACCCAGATCTCCTGGAGCTGTGCCACACCGTGCCCCTGGAGGTGATCATGGCAGGTGAGGGGACAGGACAGGCAGCTGGGGATGGGGCTGGCAGGGAGGCCGGGGCTTTGAGTTCTCAGCATCAGGAGGTTTGGGGGGCCACCCTGACACGGTGGTCCCGGCTTCTGGTCTGATTCTGTCCTTCCCCTGTCTCCCTTCCCAGAGAAGCAGCTCCTTGACCCCGAGCACTCAGATAATTATGCTGCCTTCAAGAACTGGCTGCAGTGTTACTTGGTGCCTGGCATGAGCTCCCTGCGTGACCACAATGGCAGGACCATATGGTTCCAGGTAGGAGCCTGGGCCTGCTGCCTAGAGCTGGGGAGCCCCCAAACCACTCCTCCAAGAGGACACTGGCCTGTTTTCTGCTTGCTGAGACTCCCATTACTGTGGCTGAGGGTCTCCTTCTCCATCCACGTGCTGGGCATGGAGGTGACAAGGACCTCCTGTGTGGTGGGCAGTCAGCTGTGAGCAATATGGAGCAGATGGAGGGAATGGGAGGGTTTGGGTGGTCTGACAGCCCTGATCTTCCCTCCTGGACCCTGTGCTTGGGGCCTTGCACGTACAGGGATTGATGGCAAGAGTCCCCAAGGGACAGGGCAGGCAGAGCAAGCCCAACTCCCCTGCCTTCCCAGGGAAATGTGGCTGTTTCCCCATCACTGCAGTGGCTGCAGGATGGAGAAGGGCAGGGATTCTGCTGCTGCTGCCTGCAGAGTGACTGTACCCCAGTCAATGCTCTGTCCCTTCCTTACAGGGAGAGCCTGGCCCCATGGCTCCCAAAGGTGAGTTTCCTCTCCCCTTCCTGTGGGACCCACTCTTGCTCCGGGAGGGTTGGAACAGCACAAGGGCACAGGCAGGAGCAAAGCCATTCTCTCTGGGGTGCAGACAGGCCTGCGACACTTGTTGGCACCAAGGGACAGAAGCCATTTGTCCCCAAGGCTTCCTACCAGCATCCAAACCTGCCTGGGTGCAGCTGTTGGATGATTTTTCATCTTGTAGTTCCTCACTCTGAACAGCATCCCTGTGACTGTGCTGTGGGCTGTCCCGTGGGGTGCAGGTTCTGCCTCATCCTCTCCTCACCCCGCCTCACTTGGGCACATCCTCTCATGCAGGGCAGAGACCCCGCAAGACGCCCGGTGAGAAGAGCCTTCAGCTGAAGGCAGACCCCGAGGCACCAAGCCCCAAGGTGAGCAGCTTTGTGGCTGTGTCTGGCTGTCCTTGTGCCCATGCCTTGCTCGGGCTGCTCATGACTTCATGCTGATGATCCTGCATGGAGTTCCTCATCTTGGTAAGCTCCAGCTCTGACGCCCACCCAGGTCACCCCACGTGCCTCGAAACAGCGCCGCAGGGCCGCAGTGAACCCCCCAAAGTCGGAGGAGAAGGAAGAGAAGGCTGATGGGCCAAGGAAGGGATGTGCTCGCAGGAGGAGGAAAACGACTGCTGCTCCAGCCTTGCCTGAGGTGCCTGTGTGTGTCAGAAGAAGCTGCAGGATATCTGCTCGCAGGGGCAAAGGTGACAGTGCACGAGGGGGCTGTGGGACAGCTGCCTTGTGGCAAGGGGACTGAGGGGTGCCAGAAGGCAAGAGGGGAGCCCATGGGGCAGAACCAGATTCTCCCTTGCCCTCTGACTCCTCATTTCCCTCTTCTTTCTCCAGGTACAGCCCCTGCTGTGTGAGTGTCACCTGCTGCCACCTCCTGAGGGGCATTTAAGGGGCCAAGTGGAGCTCAGGCAGGGCCTGGCCACAGAGCAGGGTTAGTGCTAGTGAAAATGGAGCTACTCTGTACCTGTGCTCACACTTACTTGCTGCTGTTGCATCCTGCCAGTGTGGCAGGGAGAAGCTGAGTGTGGTGATGGGGCTTTTTCCTGCTGTCCACAGGCATTTGAAGAGAAAAAGGGCCAGGACCATGTGTTGTGCTGGACTCTGACTTTTCTCTCTCCCTCTTCCCTTTCTGGCTGCTGCTCTCATCACTGTTTTTAGCTGACTAATAAAGTACTTTGTGTAGAAATCAGTGTGCATGCCTTTTCATGCGGAGGATAAATCCCTCTGTGCCCAGCTGCTTCTTCACAGGGGCTGGAGCAGACTTCCCCTCCACCTCACCCCCCAAAATAAAGGTAAGTTCAGTGCCAGGAGCGAGACCCTGCTCAGGTGGACACTAAAGGAGCAACTCCACCAAAGCCTCTGGGCAGAGGCAGGTCAGTGCAGTTACCTGGAAACAAGTTAAGAAAACAGGCTGGAGCTTGTTTTTATCTAATTCTCTTGATTTTTTTTTTTTTGTGTTTCCTCTTCTTCAAGGGCAGTGCAAGGGGCAGGCAGGGGAGAAGGGAGGAGTGGAGTGTGTTTTTCCACTCACTGATAGACAAGATGAAGGTTGAGACATAGATGTCACTGTGGAAGCTGCTGCTCCCCAAACCTCTACAGCTGGAGCAGAGCCCCTGCTGCACAGAGTGAGCTCAGAACTCACTCCAGCCCACCTGTCCTGGCTGGGCTGTGGGCAGCTGTCCTTCCCTGAGGAGCGAGGTTGTTCAAGCGCTGTATGTGGGTGCAGACAGGGGCACCCTGCTGTTCCCTAGAACTGCTGCCTTGCACAGCTCTTGGGATGGGGAACAGCTCAGTCTGATTTGAGCTCACGCTGCTGCTCCGGGTGCTGCAGCATCAGCAAGGGGCAATGTTTGGTGTCAGGGGCTCCAGAGCAGGAGGACGGAGAGCACGAGGAAGGGTGTGAAGGAAAGCCTCAGGCCCCGCTGCTCCAGCGGCAGGTGGCCCTGGGCGAGCGGACGCTCCAGGAGGTCACAGCTGGGAGGCAAAGCACAAGGCTGAAGGGACTGATCTCCATCCCCACGCACCCCCAGCCCTTCTGCATGCACTCACAGCATCGCCTCCTTAACGGGGAGGGAGGTTTGGAGCCAGGCGGTGACTGTGCTGCCATGGGCCTCGTAGAGCCGAACCAGCAGAGCCTCAGGTCTGTCCTCGGCCTTTGGGGGAGTTCAGACAGATGAGACAGGCACAGCCTCTTCAACAAGAGCTGCTGTGCCCAGAAAACGTGACTGCCACGGGGTGTGGGTGAAAGAGCAAGCCCTGCTCAACAACAGCACCTCAGCCCCTCTGCCCTCCCCTCCTCTACCCCAGCACCTGCCTGCTTGACAGTCTCCAGCACGACAGCAGGTGAGCTGACAGAAAAGGCACTCCAGGGTGAGCACTGGGCACAGCTGGCTGGGACCATGTGCAGGGGGAAATTCAAGTTGTAGGCTTGCTGAATCACACCGGCCTCCTGGAAGGAACCTGCAGCACAAGAACCTCTCTCTAGTCAGCCTCTGTATGTGCACACTCACCCCAAGGCTCACTGGAGCAGCTCCCACCCAGCTCTGCTTGTCACTCACCCTGGTGAGGCATCACAGCGTAGGTGAACTGGTGGTGCCCAATGTCTGCCGTGGAATCGGGGGACTTGGGTGCTCTCAGCCTAGGGCAACGTGAGGTTAGTGAGAGCGGTGCCTTGGCAGCACCCACTGTCACCCAGAGCAGAGCCAGGGCACTGTGACAAGACACCTGCTTCCCTTGCTACCTCAAGGCTGGCCCCTGAAGTGGAAGCAGACACCCAACAGCAAACAGACCCTGGACAGTTCCAGAAGCTAAAAAACTGGGGTGTCATCCTGTGAAAATTGTGGCTGATGGCGTCAAACTGAAACACACAATTTCCTTTAGCTTTTTATGCACCTGTAACATTAACACTCCTGTTCCTTCCCTCTCCTTAAGCCTCCCTTCCTGGGGTATGTTTCAGTTAGCAACAGAAAAGCTACCTGCTACAAATATGAAGCCGATCTCTCCTGAATTATCTTTGAGCACAGTTCACAGGAATTAGTTCTAACTAAACGTAATGCAACCAAATTCTCAGAAAACAGCCACCCACCAGACTATTTCCTTGTTATAACTTAGGACATTAAGGAGCAGGTGCTGCCTTTACTTCCAAGAGATGCCTCAGAAGGCAGAGTACCCACAGCAGCTCCCCCCTCACCCATGCCTAACTCACAGGGAGAGGCTGAGGACGTTCCTGTGGGCTGACGCTCCGTATTTGCAGTCGTTCAGCAGAGCTACCCCGAAGCCATGCTCAGAGAGATCCAGCCACTTGTGAGCCCACACCTGCAGCAGGTACCAAGGGATGTGCTCAGCTCACGGAACAGGAGCAGCTCAGCCCTGGGACCAGAGCAGCTCCCTCCTCACCTCGAACCGAGCCCAGTCCCAGGACGTGTTCCAGTGTGTCGGCCGCTGCAGGTGTCCGAACTGGATCTCGTAGGTGGCATTTGTGCTCCGGACCTGCACAGGGAACTCCACCTTCAGGAACTTGTGAGCCTCCTTCCACTCAACCTAAATGTGGCAGCAGAAGGATGTCACCATGGGGGACTGACAGGCAGAGACTGTCCCAGTGTGCAGCAGCCAGTCCATGCCAGCTACAACAAAAACACACCAGAGTCTCAACACAGCTAAACTGGTGTGTCCCTCTTCCACCCTTGTCCCTCAAGACCCCCAGCCTTGGGCTGCTTTCTGCAGAGCAGAAATTGAGGCACAAGGTTCATCTCCCCAGCTCCCAGCTGTGTAGGATGTTAGCAGCACACAGCAGCCAAGGGCCAAACCTGGGTCAGGAAGCGGAGGTACGGGCACGCGGCATCCAGGATGATCTCCTGGCTTAAGGTGCTGCTTTTCCCCACCTGCAGGGAGAACCTCACACTTCCCCGCAGGCCCCCAGCCAGAGTGATTTCCAGAGGCTTCAGCAGCGTTGTCACTGGCTTCCTAGAGAATGGAATCAAGGCAGAGATAGTCTCAGGTTCCCAAATCCCAGTGCAGCCACCCACACACCAGGCATTCACTTCTCCAGAGTGAATGCTCTCTTACAGCTAGGACTGACAGGGAGGCAAGAAACCAAAGCACTGCTCCTCTACCTGGTTTCCAAGTGATAATCCATCACATCCCAGGCATCCCAGTAGAGGGGAACATCATCAAAGAGTGCAAACTGGTTGGCATAGCAGCCATCTGGGACTGACTCTCTGAAAGAAAGCGGAACAGGGGCACAGCAGCATCAGAAGGACTGGCAGTGGAGAAAGGTGCACAGTGAGAAGTCCTGGGTGAGGTTTGAGGAGCTCAGGGCCAGGAGCTGGGTGACACAAACCTCCCAGAGTCCAGCAGCTGGAGCGAGGTCAGGTGCCCCATTGTGTCCAGGCAGACAGCAATCACCCCATTCTCCATGGTGATGGAGCCATCCTCCTTGGGAACAGGCCAGAAACAGGTGTCACAGACCCACACCTGCGGGAGCTGACTGCCTCCATTGCAAATTTAATTTAATGTGGATTCCTTAGATTTCTCCTCAAACAACCTCTGATGCCAGGAACACAGACCTGAGGAAATCTGCCTTGTGCTTACCTGTTTCCTCACTGCCACAGGCTGAGGAGGCACAAATGGCTCCTGCACTAGAGCATAGCCCATGCTGGGGACTGTCACCAGAGCTGAAAGCAAAGAGGTTCTGCTCCAACACTCACCCCAGACTGAATCCTAAGTCACACAACTGCTGCCCTGCTGCTCTCATGTCAGATCTACCGCCTCCTTCCATACTCTCCTCGTCCTCATGCGTGCTTCAGGGGATTTTATCCCCTCCCAAGTTATCCAAAGAACAAATTGAACAGTCCATAAAACCCTCCCCAGGACAGGGAGAGGCAGAGTATTTCCCTGTTAGCTATCTCTGCCCCTGTAAGGAACTCTGATAGAAGAATTACTCCCAGGTCAAGCATACCCAAAGTCTCTGTTCCATCTGGCCCAGGCCTGGAGATGACCTCGGTGCGTTCCCAGGACAAGGTGTTCAACACGAGGGTGCTCGGGGTGCTCCTCACCTCGGGCTGCAGCAGATCCCTGCACAGGGATTGCACAGCTTCCTCCTGCAGCTGAGCACCAGCCCTGCGGATCTCTGGGCAGCAAAAGGGCCTGAGTTGGAGCTGAGAGAGCTTCTGGCACTCCCTGTGCAATGTACACACACTTTATCTCCTTCCAAGCTACAATTGCTAATTATCATTAATTATTATTATCTATTAGTAAGTAATTCAAGTGTATAATTATTATGAACTTTGTTATTACAAGATTACAATGAGCTGTGCCAGCTCAGCTGGAAAATTCTGGTTAACAAAGCTCCTGCAAACACCCCTGGGCAGGCAGAAACAAACCTTGGTGAGAATCTCTGGCATGCCAGCAGCAAGCAGAAAAGTCAATAAATTGGGATGGTTCTCAATCCCTTGGCTCCCCTGCTAATTTTACGCTGTTTCAGACCTGCCTGCCGAGGCTGTCCAGGGTTGGAACCTCCGCAGCCCCACCAGGCAAGACCTGCTCCCACAGGTGAGTGCCCTCCTAGCCAAACTCCCTGCTCACCTGTGTAGTATTGCAGGGCATCCTCAACCACCAGCTGGATACAGCTGCCTGGCAGGACATCGTGGAACTGGTTGAGCAGCAATAACCTAAAACAGAGAGCAGAAATCAGGGAAGAAAGTGGCGGAGAGCACCAGATTTGCGCTGGCTTAGAACAAGCTCTTGTCTCAAACGAAAGCTCTGTTTGCAAGAGAGACAAACTTCATAACTGTTCTTATTCCCAACACTCGAGAGAACAGGATTTTTTCCACAGCATCCTTTAAACCCCTTTATGTCAGGGCTTGCCAGCTGTCGTCTCAGTAAACCACAACCACGGGCAGTAAGAGTTATTTGTTTGTACCCCTCAGGGCTACGAGATATGTTGTTGCACAAGCTCAAACAAGCCAAAACTGGGCAGGAATAAGCTTTGGTAGGAAATGAAGCTTCCAGACAGCAGAGCAGAGAGGGTTTGGAGTTCTCTTTCAGCAGGAGAATCAAGCAAAGCAGCAAATTCTTTGCAGGTAGATTCCTGCTCAGTTTATGGCAGGGGCTGTGTACACACGGTGCTGCAGCACTGAACTCTCCCCCAGTACCACCAGTGCACTCCCTCCCTCACCTCCAGAGCCG